AAAGATCAACAGAGAGAAATGGTGCGATTGCTCAGGAAGTACGAAGAAGTTTGCAAAGATATACTTGGGTATCCCACTTTAATCAAACATGAGGTTAATGTAGTTAGTTCAGAACCCATATTGGTTCAAGCCAAAGGAACACAGGAAATTCAATGCATGCTGTGGAATTGATTGATCGAACCAAGCAAGAATAATTAGGCGTTCTCCTGCAGTATTGGTTCCTAAACCAAACACTCAATTAGATTATGTTTTGATGATAAGAAAGTAAATACGGTCACAAAGGTGGATTCATACCCTATTCCCAAACAAGAAGATTGCATTGGTAGAGTTGGTAGTGCAATATTCTTATTTAAAATTGATTTGTTAAAAGGATACAGGCAGATACCATTGACGACAAGAGCTAAGGAAGTTTTCATTTTTGTCATGGATTGTACCAACATCGGGTTATGTCATTTGGATTTAAGAATGTCCCAGCCACATTTCACCGTTTAATGAATAGAGTTATTGCTGGAAAACCTAATTCGATAGTCTACTTGAATGACATCATACTTTATAGTGTTACGTGGAAGGCTGTTGGAAAATTGTTTACACAGTTACAGTCAGCTGGATTGGTGTGGAGTCTAGTAAAAAGTGAATTTGCAAAAGCCAAGGAGACATATTTAGGACATGCAGCACAAGAATAGGTGTCATCCAGAAGAGGAAAAGTAAGAGCTTTAATTTACTTTGCCACCGGAAAAACAAAATGAGGTATAATAAGGTTTTTGGGACTCTGAATCTTATTGAAAGTTTGCACCTCATCTTTTTTAGTATAGTGGCTATATCCTTGACCAACTGGTTGTGAAAACAGACAAAGATGGCATGATCAACAGAAGAGCTTTACTTAATAAAAATCTAAAGGATATGGGGGAGAAAGAAAGTATGTGGATTTAAGAAACATAATTTCACAGAATGATCGATGTCATAATGCAGAAGGAGACTATTCAATCCATTTGAATGGGAGAATGGGTTTGTGGGCCCAAATGGTTTGCTTCTGTCACTGTGTTCCATCAGGATAAGAATCAGCTGGTTATTCACCTGCTGTGTACACTGCAGCTGAGTCCAAGAGACTCTATGCAGTGGTTGCATCCCTACTATTACGACATGTAAGTCGACAGGCAAATCATATCAGCCTCCTCTATTCTCAACACAATAAAATTAAAATAATCAATGACCCTCAAAATTGCCCAGTGGTTCCTAACCAGACTTTCTGAGTAATCAATACCAGTCGTTCTGTATCCAGATACCAAATTTATAGTTGAAGTCCCCCATACTCTAGAGTGATGTTTATTACCGTCTCTAAACAGGTTGGTTAGAAATATCTGCAACTGAGTCTAGTTGCCTAATTGCAGGTATGTTTTACAGCATGACCTGCATTGCTATTCTGACTTCGTAGATCATAGATACCCTACAGTGTGGAAACAGGCCCTTCGGCCCAACAAGTCCACTCAGACCCTCAGAGCATTCCACCCAGACCCATCCCCCTATAATCCACCTAATCTACACATCCCTGAACACTATGGGCAATTTAGCATGGCCAATCCACCTAGCCTGCACATCTTTGGACTGTGGGAGGAAACCGGAGCACCTGGAAGAAACCCATGCAGACACGGGGAGAATGTGCAAATTCCACACAGACAGTGGCCCGAGGGTGGAATCGAACTCAGGTCCCTGGTGCTGTGAGGCAGCAGTGCTAACCACTGTGCCGACTTAAATAAGCTAATTGAGCTCTGAAAAGGAATTGTATCCTGGACTCTCCTTGTTTGTATAGTTGAGCTTTGCAGGACATTTACTTATTAAGCTACTTAATGGAATGGCAAAAATTCATAGAATAGTACATCGCAGGAAAACCCTTTGGCCCACCATGTCAGCACCGACCATGATGCCAATCTAAACTAATCTCATCTGCCTGCATGTGGTCTGTATTCTTCTCTTCCCTGTCTGTTCATGTGTCTGTCCAAAAGCCTCCTAAACGCTGCTATTGTATCTGCTTCTACCACCAGCTCTGGCAGTGCATTCCAGGCATCTACCCGCTTCTGTTTAAAAAAAATACTTGCCTCGCAATCTCCTTTAAACTTTTTCCATCTCACCTTAAACCTATTCCCTCATAGTATTTGTTGTTTCCATCTTGGGAAACAGACTCCGACTATTCACCTTCTGTGTGCCTTCCTTAGTTTTATATACTTCTGTCAAGTCACCCATCAGCCTCTGCTCCAGTGGAAACAATCCAAGTATGTCCAACCTCTCCTTACAACAGACGTACTCCAATCTAGGCAATATCCTGTTTTTCACTCTCTTCAAAATCTCCGTATCCTTCCCAAAGTTGTTGACCAAAACTGCAAATAATACTCCAAATGTGACCTAACCAAATTTTATAAAGCTGCAACATGACTTGCCAACTTTTATACTCAATGGCCTGACTGATGAAGGCAAGCAAGCCATATGCTTTCTTTCCCACCTTTTCCACTTGTTGCTACTTTCAGGGAGCTACGGACTTGCACCCCAAGATCTGTCTGTATGTTAATGCTCCCCGGGGTCCTGCCATTTACTGTTTACTTTCCTCTTATATTTGACCTCCCAAAATGCATTACCTCTCACTTGTCCAGGTTTAAAATCCATCTACTATTTCTCCACTCAATTTTTCAACTGATCTATATCCTTCTGTATCCATTGATAACCATCCTCATTATCCGCATTACCCACAACTCTACCAATTTTTGTGTCATCTGCAGACTTTCCAATCAGACCACATACATTCTCATCCAAATCATTTATACAAAAGTTACAAACAACAGAGGTCCTAGCTCTGATCACAGACATCCAGTTAGAAAAGCACCCCTCCACAAGTACCCTCTTCACTCAAAACATTTGTAACTAAGTGTTTCAGCATGTTGCGAAGATTTTATTTCAGTGGAATTCCGATGTAGATTGCACTGATTTGATATCTAGCATTCAATTTCACAACACTGTTGGCATTGACTTAAAGTTGTCATTAACAGTTATATGGGCTTTTTCATCAAAGTTGTATATTGACCCATTACTGTAATTTATATCACAGATTGTTTTTTACATCATATTTATTGGGGAAAATGATAATTTTTAAAATTGTTGCCAGATGGTCTGGTCAGTGGTGAGACTTTGTCTTTTTGTTCTAACTAGTGAGTTCAACACGTGGGAGAGCTGAAGAAAAAAAGGTTCAGGTCTGTAAGGGATTTACTGTGAATAATTTTGAATTAAAGTAGTACAATAAGAACATAAGAACTAGGAGCAGGAGTAGGCCATCCGGCCCCTCGAGCCTGCCCCGCCATTTAATAAGATCATGGCTGATCTTTGAGACTCAGCTCCACTTACCCGCCCACTCACCATAATCCTTAATTCCTTTACTGTTCAAAAATTTATCTAGCCTTGCCTTAAAAACGTTCAGTGAGGTAGCTTCAACCGCTTCACTGGGCAGGGAATTCCACAGATTCACAACCCTTTGGGTGAAGAAGTTCCTCCTGACCTCAGTCCTACATCTGCTTCCCTTTATTTTGAGGCGATGCCCTCTAGTCCTAGTTTCACCTGGTGGCAGAAACAACCTCCCTGCCTCCACTTTATCTATTCCCTTCATAATCTTATATGTTTCTATAAAATCTCCCCTCATTCTTCTGAATTCCAATGAGTATAAGCCCAGTCTACTCAGTCCCTCCTCATAATCCAACCATCTCAACTCTGGAATCAACTGAGTGAATCTCCTCTGCACCCCCTCCAGTGCTAGTATATCCCTTCTCAAGTAAGGAGACCAAAACAGTACTCCAGGTGTGGCCTCACCAGGACCCTATACAGCTGCAGCATAGCCTCCCTGTTTTTAAACTCCATCCCTCTAGCAATGGCAGACAAAATTCCATTTGCCTTTTTAATTACCTGCTACACCTGCAATCCCACCTTCAGCAACTCATGCACAAAGACACCCAAGTCTCTCTGCACAGCAGCGTGCTGCAATTTTTTACCATTTAAAACATAGTCCATTTTGCTGTTATTCCTACCAAAATGGATGACCTCACACTTATTAACATTGTACTCCATCTGCCAGACCTTTGCCCACTCACTTAGACTATCTATATCCCTCTGCAGACTTTCAGTGTCTTCTGCACACTTTGCTCTACCACTCACCTTAGTGTCGTCTGCAAATTTTGACACACCACACTTAGTCCCCAACTCCAAATCAGCTATGTAAATATCTAATTAAACAACAATGGCTGAAGCATAAGTTAGCAAATGCCCAAGCATAGAGATATTGTTGGAGTATTAACACTACATCTGTGATATCTATAGTATACAGCATGTATAAACTTCCTATTACTTCTCCAGCTAGAATGATTACACTTGCTGGGGCAAAAAACAACAGTTAATAATGCTGATTTGGAAGAAACAATGAAAGATCTACATATTCAGATTCCTTTAGTGGGCCATGCTTGGTTGATTTCCTTCCAATCTTAGATTATCACATGTTATCTTGGAATTGGATCAATGTCAGAGAAATTTTGCCTGCCATAAATTACCTGACTAATACACTCACCCATTTGTTCTACTGTTTCATCTAATGTCAAAGATGTGATTAAGTATGAGGTTTGTGAATGTGAAAGTGAATCTGCTGTGGTCGACTGGAGCATTAAGTAGTCATGTTACCAAAATCGGAGGTTCCATAACTAACACCATGCTGAATAGTTACCAAATGCAATAATACATTTACCATTTCTACTATTGCTCCAGTTCTGTCGAAGAGCTTTAGATACTGCTTTTGCAAGAAAAGTACCATAGGATGATCCTCTACTTTTTACTGACTAGGGTACCTTACAGAATTCATTTAATTCAATGTCAAGAAAATATAACTAAGGTGATGTTAATTCCTGGAGGGTTTGACAGTCTGTTGTTTTGATGATGCATAAGATGTATGATTCATTGTATTTTTGTCCTCTTTTTAGATGACTGAGAAGTCACAATGAGTGTAAAGGCATTTGAACTTGTTCCTGTGCTTGGACAGGATCTGCTGATAGGAGACAAATCTTGGATTTCTGTTGATTGCATTGAATGTTGTGGGAAGAACCTTTATGTAGCTACAAGTGACTGCTGTATCTATCACTTTAAATTGGAAGAGAAAGCATCTGTCTCCGGAAGACTTGCGTTTACTCCAACAAAACAACTACACAAGTATCTAGGGGTAAAAAAAGCTGTGAATGAGCTGAAGGCAGCATCTGCTTTGAACAGGCTATTGGTTTTATGTGACAATATTGTAATTTTAATGGATATGATCAGCCTGGAGCCTGTACCATCAGGAGCTAAAATCAAAGGAATAACTGCATTTGTTGTGAACGAGAACCCAGTGACTGGAGACCCCTTCTGTATTGAGGTTTGTGCCATTTCAATGAAGCGGAAAACTGTACAAATGTACACAGTACATGAGGACCGTGTTCAGTTAATAAAAGAAATCTCCACACCGGAGCAGCCAGTTGCTATGGCTGTGGATGGGTACTTCCTTTGCTTGGCAATGAGCACACAATATATTATTTTGAGTTATAATACCGGAACTTCACAGGACCTGTTTCCATATAATAGTGAGGACAAACAACCGATTGTGAAGCGCATTGGTCGAGAGGAATTTCTGTTAGCTGGTCCAGGTGCATTGGGTAAGTTTATTGTGAAATTCAGTGTCATTTGGTGTATATGATTTTATTATTACAAAACTAAAGTGGTTTTTAATTATCCCAGAGGAGTGGTGAATAAATCATCCATTTCAAAAATTGCTGCCAGTTTCAAACCCAAAATATATTGTAAGAACACGTGATTCTCAATCACTCAAAAGCCAAGCAGAGAGCAAGTACGGCAGGGGGATTACATGAAGGGACTTTTGAGGTTTAAAAAAATACAGATGCTTCTGTATTAAGTGAACCAGAGAAGATAGGATCTTATTTTAAGGATATAAAGAAAACAGTCCCAGTTTACCTTGCTAAATACACCAGTTCTGCTACCGAGCCTTGATATTTAGCAGGATTTTCTGCACAGTGTGCTCAGTTGGAAGAGATCTAATTTCAGTGTTTCAAAGGAATCAGGTGGAATAGGTAAAACGATAGATGATTTCAAGGAGGCAATAATTTAGGTGGACTCAAATAATTCCTATGGAGGAGGACATCTAGGCTAACATTCTGTAAAGACTAAAGAAATTTTAAATTATGATACACAAGACTCATTTACAACAGAATATCTTGCTGCATATGTAGTGCAGTGTGTAACTGAAAAGGAAATAAGGAAGCAAAGTGGGTTTATAGTTCCAGTTCATGTAAATTTATATTCACTTGGAATAACAGTTTAAAAATGACAGCCCACACTGATTAGTTAAAAGCAGATGTCATGTCTAAAAAATTTGAATCTCTGCTAACTCTCCTTGATTATTTCAAAGCTTTCTAAGCGTCTGTTTTTTTCTTTCCCCTCAATTTGTGGCTTATCCTTATTTCTGACAGTGTCAGGTTGGGCACCCATGATATGAGGCAGTTGGATGCCCATGGTGTGGGTCTGGTCAGATACTGTGTGGGTAGAGTTCAGTTTTATAATTAGCTAGGAGTTACAACCAGTTTAAATCCTGTAACTTCCCCTGTGTAAGTGTCCAGGTAATTAACAATGGGGGTGTTTTCAGACGGTTCAGGTGCAAAGCAATTCCTTTCAGCAGGTTCAAATGCCGAGGCAACTACTATGCAGTCAGGCCATCAGAACTTCCAAGAGATCTGGATGCACATCCTTCAGGGTCCATCCAGTCTCTAACATTCTGGAAACCAAAAGATCTAAACTGTAGTGTCTAGCATCTTAGTTATCGCTGATCAACTGATATGCCTGTAGTTACTAGGAATGTCCTTCCACCGTATTTTGAATATGTGTAAAATTTTCTACTTTCCAATCTTTGACACCACATCACTATCACAGGAAGTCTTTCTACGACCTCTATTCCACTTTATTCCCACGTCCCTCGCTGGGAAGTTAGCCATTCAGGCTAGATGTTTCCACTCTGAGCAAAGCCAGGTATTCTAAAAGATGCTATATGTCTATTTTCACTCCGTCCATTTATCCCTACCCACTCACTTTACTCACTTTGGTTATCACTGAAGCAAAATGTGCATGAAATAATCTAGCTTTGCCCTGTGCCTCTAAGGGATACGCCCTGCTTGACTGCCCACTAGAAATTTTCAGTGTTTCAGTACAGTCTCCTGCAACTCCTCCCCTGCTGGCCACCTGTTTTATCCATATCCTATTTTTTTTTCCTCTCTCTCTCTCGCTCTCTCTCTCTCTCGCTCTCTGCTTTCTGCTTCTGTTCATCTAGAACTGAGTTTCTGGAAAACCTTTGCATATCTCTGAAAGAGAGCATTCAACGGTTGTATTTTATTTTGCCTGCAGAATATGAGATTGTGTTTTTAGTTTTACATGCATATTTTCATGTTTGGTCAAATGCTGCTACATTATTTGTACATTTTCTACTGACACATTTAGGAGTTCCTGTTTGTGTATTGAGGGAGTGAAAAGGCTGATCAGTGTAGTGGAAGCCATGAAAACAGGATGATTTAGATTTTGTCAGCATTTTCCTTTTGTTATCTGCCATGCCGTGCTGAAGGGAAGGATTTGAAGTCATTTCCGTCATTCATTGAATGAAAATAGGGTCAGGAGAACATCATTTGGCCCTGCCGTACCATTCAATATGATCACGGCTGTTCATCCAACCCAGTTCCCTGTGTTCACTTTCTACCCGTACACTCTGATCTCTTTATCCCCAAGAATATGTCTATCTCATTTTTGAAAACGTTGAATGTTTTTGGTCTCAACCACTTCTTGTAGCAGAGACTTCCACAGGCTGACTACTCTCTGAGTGAAGCAATTTATCTTCATCTCTGTCCTAAATGGTGCTTTAATTTTTAGGATCAGCGAGATAGGCTGCAATTTTTTTCTCTTATTTCTGTGCACATTTCTAATTTGCTATCTTATGCAGTAATGGGGCTAATAAATGTACAAAACTTTTGAGAGTCAGGAACTTGATATTCAATTACATAAAAGAAATGGTAACCCTTGGATAATAGCAGAACTTCTTGGAGCGATTGATTATTGCCCAGACAAAATAAATGTTTCCATTGATTATTCATTATTGTCTCAGACAAAAGTAGTCTGAGCAACTGCATTTGTGTTCCCAAATATGACCAGCTATACTTGGCCTTTCAATCCTAGAATAATAGAAAAGTGTATCTTTTAGTAACACAACATTCAGTGTGAATGTATATGGTGCTAAGACTTTGAAGTAGTCTGCAGCAGTTAGATATAAATGAGGAAGGATTCGAGCTGTCTTAATGTAGGTGATATTGACTTGAACTTGCAATGTGAGGACACAAATGTGAAAGTTACTTCTGCTGTAGCTAAAAGCTATGAGTTGCTGGAGGAGGTTGTGTGCCTGCATCTTTTTGATGAGCCTTCAATATTTGGGGCTGTGTTGTAATTCTCCACCATAACAATGCTAACCATGCCTTCTTGACTTTAATGGTTGCACTGAACATACTTCAGGTCAGGCAAAAATAATGTGTTTTTGACAAGAGATATCTCCCTTTATCTTTACTCTCAGATGGGAGGGTCAACTGTGAGGAGGATACAGAAATGCTACAGTGTGATTTGGACAAGTTGAGAGAATGGGCATATGTATGGCAGATGATGTATAATGTGGACAAATTGGTAGCACAAACAGGAAGGCAGATTATTATCTGAATGTCGATAGATTGGGAAAAGGGGAGGCAGGAAGAATGTTCCAGCTATGGAGAGAATGTAACAAATTTTTGGCAGTCTGATCACTGGGATGCCAGTACGAAGAAAGACTGGATCATTTACTGTATACTGTATATATATCCTATACTGGCTGGAGTTTAGAAGAATGAAGGAGGATCTCATAGAAACCCATGAAATTCTAACAGGACTAGACAGGTAGTAGACATAGGAATGATGTTCCCGATGACTGGAGTATCCAGAAATGGGGCTGCAGTTTAAGGATACGGATAGGCCATTTAGGACAGAGATGAGGATAAGTTGCTTCACCCAGAGTAGTCAGCCTGTGAAATTCTCTGCTATAAAAAGTGGTTGAGTCCAAAAAACATCGAATGTTTTCAAAAGTGAGTTGGATATGATCTTGGGAATAGAGAGATCAGAAAGTACGGGGAGCAAGTGGGAACAGGAAACTGATTTAGATGAACAGCCGTGATCCTGTTGGATGGTAGAGCAAAGCCAAATGATGTACTCCTCCTATTTTCAATGTTTCAGTACAGTCTCGCGCCACTCCTCCACTGCTAGCCATGTGTTTTCTTCCTACCCGCTTCCCAAATAAAATCTGTGTATTGCCATTTATTTTTCTGTTCGCTGATTCCGTTCATCTAGAACTGAGGTTCTGGAAAACATTTGCATAACTTCTAAAGACAGCATTCAGTGGTTATAATTCATTTTGCCTGCAGAATATGAGGTTGTATTTTCAGTTTTATGCATGTTTAGTCAATTGTTGCTACATTATTTGTACATTTTCTACTGACACATTTAGGAGTTCCTGTTTGTGTATTGAGGGAGTGAAAAGGCTGATCAGTGTAGTGGAAGCCATGAAAACAGGATGACTTACATTTTGTCAGCATTTTTCATTTTGTTATCTGGGATGCTATGCTGAAGAGAAGGACTTGAAGTCACTGCCCTCATTCAGTGAATGAAATGTGGCACTATGTATCACATGGAACATTGGAATTTAAGTGCAGTATATTGTAATGATGACGAGAATTGATTAACATTAAATGTCAGTAATCATAACTTCTTCTATAAATGTAAATCGCACTTGCTATATAAATTTATATTTTGATAAAAGATTCTAGGATTTCCACCACAATTAATTTATTGACAAAGCTCCTGGGAACATTTCTTTCAAAATATGAAAATTAGACTTTTTACAGTGCCACCTAATACCAACAATTCATTAGGATGATGGTATCACAAATTATGTAACAGCCTTTAGCAAAAACCATTGGCTGGACTAACTGAAGAAGTTGATGTTTTCCCACTGCCTTCTGAAATGTTTTACTCCTGGATATTACTCCCTGTGCCATATGCAAGTGTCTATTGAGATAGGAGGGGAAGACTTATGAATGTTCGGCTGGAGTGTTTGTGCTGGAGATAGGGCTTTAGATTTTTGGGATTTTACAAGTCCAGTCTCCCCTAGAACCAGTCCTGTTGACTGGATGTTTTGCACCTGAACAGAACTGGGACTGAATTCCTGGTGGGTGTTTTACTAGTTATATTGAGGAAAGTTTAAACTAACTCAATGGGGATGCGGTAACCAGGGGATAGCATCAGAGAGGAATAACAAGTGAACAGAATACTGTGTGTGGTGGCAGGGGCAAGTGAGTGGTGATGCATGGGGCACTAGAATAGAGAATAGTATGTCAATAGGTGGGGTCAGAGGAAGGGACAAAGTCATAAAATCTATATCAGGGTTCCTCTGCACGTATCGTGGCCTAATAAGATTGGTGAGTTATAGGCACAGATTGTGAAGTGGAAATATAATGTTATGGTTAGAAGAGACCTGGCTCAAGGAAGGGTAGATGTTAAGTATTCCAGGACATAGTTTGTTCAGGGGAGGTAAGGAGCAAAAATGAGGAAAGGTGGTGGTGTTGCCGAAACAGAGCATTGTAGTTCAGGCGAAACAGGATGTCTGAGGGGTTAAGGATTGAATTGATTTGGCTAGAACAAAAAGGTGCAATTACATTGCTCATTGTAGTGTACAGGCCACAAACTATTGGGAAAGATGCAGTAGATCAAATTTGCAAATAAATTATGGAGAGGTGCAAGCACTGTAGTTATAATAGGGGATATTAATTATCCAAATATGGGCGGGAAAAGTTATACTGGAAAGAACAGAGGTGCAAGAGTTCTCGAGTGTATTCAAGAGAATTTTCTATGGCAGTATGTTTCTGGTGCAACATGAAATGAAGTACTGCTGGACCTAGTTCTTGGGAAGAAAGTGGACCAAGCATATCAAGTGTAAGTGGGAGAACATTTTGGGGATAGTGATCACTACATCATAAGATTTAGGGTGACTCTGGAAGAAAACAATAAACAATCTAGAGTAAGAATAATTAATTGGGGGAAATGCCAACTTCACTGGGGTAAGAATTGATCTCTGTTGAATAAATTGGGAGTCAAAGATTGGCAGGAAAATGGCAGCAAAACAATGGACTGTCTTCAACGAAGAAGTGCTTGAACATAGTCAAGGTATATTTCCTTGAAAAGGAAAGGTAGTGCAAACAAATCTAAAACTCCTTGAATGACAAAAATTCTAATTAAAAAAAGAATAAGCTTTGTCAGATGTCAGATTGGAAATGTAATTGCGAACCAGGCTATGTAGACCATGTTCAGAAAGTGGTGGGGAAAGGCAAATAAAAGGAGAGAAAAGGGAGTATGAAAAGAGACTGGCCACTAACATAAAAGGGAATTCCAAAGACTTCTATAGGAATTTGAACAATGAGTGATAAAAGAAGTAGGTTTAATTAGGGCCCAACAAATGTGTTTATATGAAGGTTTCATCCAGGCTGCATGCATGCCCAGCAATCTAATGTTCAGTCCCACAGTGCTTGGCATTGACACACCAAGGCTCATGCACTCATTAAGAAAATTCAAAGGAATGTTTGTTTACGTATGGAGGTAGAGGACATGGATGAAATATTAAACAAATACTTTTCATCTTTTCGTCAAGGAAGAAGCTGCTATGTAGGCCATGTTGAGAGGAGGAAATTCAGTTGCACAAAGCACTTAGAATTAACTGAGTTATTGGATTGACTGTCTGCACTTAAAGTTGAAAGGCACCAAGAGTGAATGAGATATATCCAAGGATACTGACAGAAGTGCAAGTGGAAATTTCAAAGGCAGTGGCAGTAATTTTGAGGCTTCCTTACATTCAGGAATGGAGTGTGGAATTGTTCAAAAAAGGTGTGAGGATAAGCTGGCAACTGCAGACCAGTCAATTCAACTTAAGTTATGTGGAAATGTCCTGAAACAACTATTTCGGACAAAATTAATAGTCAGGTTGCCAAACACAAGTTAATTTAGGAGAACCAAGTGGATTTCCTAAAAGAAAATTGTTTAACTAATTTGAGTTCTTTTTAATGAGGTGACAGAGATAATTGATCAGTGCAGGAATGTTGTATATTTAGACGTTGAGAAGGACTTTGATGTAGTGCTGCAAAACAGCCGAGCAAAATTGATGCTCGAGGAATAAAAGGGACTGAAGCAACATGGTTACAAAATTGGCCAAGTGATGGGAAACAGGGTAATGATCTCTTTCTGGTTGCAAAAGGTCTTTTGGTGGAATCCTCCTGGAGTTAGCGTTGGGACTCTCTTCTAGGCTTTAATGTATGGATGCACAATTTCAAAACTTTGGTATTAAAACTGAAAGCATTGTAAACCGTGTAGAGGATTGTGCTGGGAAAAATTCAGCAAGTCTGGTAGTATCTCTAGAGAGAAAAACAGAGTTAATGATTCAAATCCTGTGACCCTTTGTCACATTCTGAAAAAAGTATAAACCTTCAAGCTGGCCTTGAAGTGTCATTGCTATAGAACCTGAATATTGCTGGAAAAAAAAGACACATTTTGTTGAAGCTTTTAGTCTTGTGCTCTCCAGGCCAATTCAAAAACATTCAAATTCAAGGGAAAGCTCACATTTATATTGCACAAGAAGTGAATGTTGATTGATTAGCAAGTAGACTGGTAGAAGTGTTGCCATTGAAGATATACTCATTACTGCTAACTGACGGTTAACTGCCAGACTTTTAAATGTTAAACCAGACAGGTTGACTCTGACCAGGGATAGTCCTGAGAAATGAACCAGCAAATGGCTTATTTATTTAGTTGAGTTGAGATAGTTGCAGTGCTTTTACATGTGCTTACTGTCTGCAAACAAGGCTCTTTCAATTAATATACGTGGACTCCCGAGCACGCAAGTGCACCATGATGTGAGCCCAACTGACAAACCTGACTTGGTTGTCAGTATATTTCCTCACACACTCAGGATTGGTTCATTTGCCGAATCACATGTTATATTGGACACTGTTGACAGTTTTTGTAATTGCAGTCTGTTTGGGTATAGTCAGAACCTTGTCTGTTGCAATCAGCCAAAGGAATGTGCTGTTTAACATTGTTCCTCAAGCCGTGGGTATATGGTCTACATTCCTGGCATCTCTCACCAGCATTTAAATTTATGCATCACATGACTCGTTTGTGTGGTAGGCAGTACGCCTTTTTGGATTGAAGTAGATATCTAGCAAGTGGTGGGTATCACTCATTGGTACTGCATAGTTTTTTTTATTATTTAATCCATTTTTTGAATCATCCTGTTCAGGGATGTTATATCACACCTCCGGAACACTTGGAACCTGAACCCAGGCCTTGGGTGAGGGACATTACCACTGCACCGCAAGAAGGCTTTGCTACTGTGTAGATTTTTTTAAAAACAATTTTTCAATTGAACCTATTCAATAATGTTATTACAAACCTTAGGAGCAGGTAGGACTTGAAGTCAGTCCTCCCAGTTCAGAGGTGGGGATGCTACCACTGTGGCATGAGAGAAAGGTACATGCTTATTCTGCTGAAGCCTAGGATTGAACCAAGGACCTTTTAATTTTGAGCCTATTGCTCTTCCAACTGAACTACTTTGACTGACTTTCTACTGCGTAGTTTTCTTTTTAATTTAACCTATTTTTCTAATAAACCTGTTCAGAGATGTTATTAGATACCTCTGGAGCAGGTGGGACTTGAATCGAGGCCTCTCTGGTCCAGGGCTACGGACACGACCATTGCACTACAAGAGGGCCCTCTGCTACTGCATAGAAGCAGCATGAAATAGCTAGCTTCAGCTGTTGCTCAAACTTTCAGCTGTTTTGCAACAAGCAAGCCTTACCATACCAAATGAGGCAGAAAGGACATGCACTGCACCTGTTTGAACTCAACAGAATAGGTTACTGCTGCTCACTTGTCCTTCTCTTTAAGGCAATGTCTTGACCAATCAGAGTCAACTATATGGTTTAAAATTTACTTAAAGCCTGGCAGTTAACTGTCAAGTAGCCTTAATGGCGCATTGTCTGCGGCATCGCCACTACCAGTCAGAGTCCACTTACCTACCAATCTTGTCTTGTACAATATAAATGTTAGCTTTTTTTTTTTTGCTCCCTTGAATTTGTATCCCTGCAAATTGTTCTGATAAGTGCAAGATGAAAAGCTTTGTCAAAATGTCACTTATCAGCTATACTTATTCAGATTTGTGTAGAAATAACCTGAGCTTGCAATTTGTAAGAAGTATATTTGTCTGTTACAGGCATTGCCAACCTTTACTCAAGACTGCGATAATTCAATAACTTTTTTTTTCATGATTCCTTCTTTAAAAATGTTAGTTGTAGGTCTGTTAACCAATTTTAAATGGAGTTGACTGCTGACAGATGCATTGCTTAGTTGCTGTCTTTGTGAAATGAACATTAGCTGCATATCAATTGGTCTTGTATATTTTGCTGATTAAAGTTCATAACATTCATTTCAAGAAATGAAGTAAAAGCCTCCAATACAATCCATGCTTGTCAGGTGCTTTGGGACTGGGAAGGGATTGAAACATTGCCTGTAATTAAATGTATGAATTAACACGTTTATTCCCAGTAGTGTAAGTGCTATAATTATTAACAAATGCTTACCATTCAGGCAGCAAATTTGCTGCAAGGCATTAGGGACATGGTAATTGCAACTCATTTTTTTTAAATTTTCTTTTGCAGGAATGTTTGTAACAGCTGCAGGAATCTCCCAGCGTGCACCTGTTCATTGGTCAGAGAATGTGATTGGAGCGGCTGTGTGTTTTCCTTATGTGGTAGCTTTGGATGAAGAATTTGTTACAGTACACAGCATGCTTGACCAACAGCAGAAGCAGTCCATTCCATTCAGAGATGGCCATATACTACAAGACTTTGAAGGTAATTCAGATAAATTGCATTTCAGCTTGCTTGGAATCAGTTACCTCAGTATTAGTAATCTCTCTGCCTTGCTTGAGCATTGGTTTTTGCAAACTTGAAAATTAATGGGGGAGGGGAAGCGCACTTCATGCTCCATAGTTAAACGGTGTCTAACCTCTCAAATCAAAGGCCATGTAACCCTACCTGGCAACTCTTTTAACTTCCTTTGCAATGTTATTTGCTTGTTATGCTTGGATATCATTGTCACCCATTTTGGAATAATATTGGACTTCTGTAAAATTTGTTTTTCTCCATTATGATAAAGTATTGTTTCTGATGGCATAGAGAAACAGTGATATGACAGTAAAACTTATATTTATGCAGCTCAAGGTGAAGTGATATAAAACAACATATGATGCCAAGCCACATGAGATATTTGACAATCTGAAAGTAATATGCATTAAGAATGATCTTTATGGAGGAATGCAAGGTAGAGAGGTGTCAAGAGCCCATAGAAAAGGCATTCCAGAGTTTTGGAGTCTAGGCAACTGAAGGTGGAGCTGGTGCAGCAATTTAAAATTGAGGATGCACTCGAGGCCAGAATTGGAGCAGTGCGGCTTTCTTTTAGAGCCGTGGGACTGGAGCAGTTCTGAGATAGTGAGGTCGTGGGGGCATTTGAAAATAAAGATGATCATTTTAAAATTAGGACGTTGCCTGACAGAGAGCCAGTGAAAATCAGTGAACACAGGGGTAGTAGGAGAAGGGGACTCATTACAAATTAAGTCAGGAGTTGCAGAGTTTGGGGTGACCTCACTTTGACAGAAAATAGCATGTGAATGACCAGCAGAGTATGCGTTGAAATAGTTGAATCTAGAAGGAGCAAAGACATGAATGACCTAACACGAGGGCGATGTCAGGTGGAGTTATGTTGGAAATAAATGGTCTTAATGTTGGCTCAAGTACGGTATTGGAACCTTGACTATAATTCCGATGTGCTGCCGAGGCAATGAACAGACTGGCTTAATCTCAAGATGCTGCCACATGGAGGCTTAGAGTTGGTAGTTAAGGAAGCTGATCTGAAGTGGGTTCTGAAAAGAATAACTTCAGTCTTTCTAATATTTAACTGAAGGAAATTTCTACTTATTCAGTACTAGATGTCATTAAAAGCAGCCTGAAAATTTAGGAGCAGTCGAGAAGACGAGAGTTATTGAGTTAGAGCTGGGTGTTATCAGCAGTTGTGTGAAAATTAATTACCAAGTGATAACGATATGGGAGCAGGAAGGAAAGCCATTTTGTGTTTCTCTGGCTATGATTTAGAGAGGTAAGAATGGATCCACATGACAGCAATCTCACAGCTGGATAACAGTGTGTGAAGGGATTGGAGGGGGATGGGTTAGTCAACCAGACAAGATGCCTCACAGATTAAGAAGGGAGGGAAAGTTTAACTCTATCACAGTCACATAAGATGCCATTTGTGACTTTGATAAAAGTTGTTTGGTACTGTGGATGGGGTGAAAAACTGTTTTGAGTGATTCAACATGGAGTTCTGGAACGATGGAACTGGATTTGGAAGGTCACAAATTCCAGTTCTTTGGAGAAGGATGGGAGGTTGGAGAGTGAACAGTATTATGCAAGTTCAGTTAGGTCAAGTGTTTGTTTTTCTCGGGAGACAGATAATTCAGGTTTAAAGAACAGACAGCACCTGAAGAGAGAGAACTGTTTACAATATCAGCTCAAGTAGGGGCCAGGGGAGGTAGTTGGGTGATCAGTTGAATACAATTGAGGGAGGTGAGCCTCCACTAATGAGCTCAGCAAGGGCACGAGAAGAAATAGGAGAGACACTAGGAAAAGAGGGATGCAGCAGAGGTGGTTGATCAGACAGTCATGATCTTAGTCATAAGCCCATGTGCTGCTTGTACCTGTTACAGGGAACAGGGTAGAGGGTTTCTGTGTCATCGACAGACAAAGATTCAATCTGTTGTGAAAATCCTTTCCTTTGAAAACTTAAGTATCAGTAACTGTAGCAAATTGAAACTACTTGATGCAAGACTACATCATAGAGGATATGTTATTGGAATTGTTCATTGCGCAAATTTATTTTAATCATTTTCTTAATTATTTGGTCAGAGAAGGGCAATGACCAGCAATGTTTTAGTCCTGATAACAATTTTGTGTCTGACGTTGCTGAGCAATTTCTGTTTTTCAGCATACAATCTCTGAAGATAATGGTTTTAATTAAAAATTCACATTTCCACAACTAAAACAAAGGATCCCAGATGCTGGGAATCAGCTAAAAACAAATATTGGAAATAGCTAGCAAGTCAGGCAACTGGTGAGGGAACCAGCTGATGTTTCAGAAATTCATTTCTTGAAGAGTTGACATTTTTCTCTTGTTACAAATGCTGTCTGACCACTCAGTATTTCCAGCATTTTCTGTTTTAGCTAGTTTGACCTTAAATTTCCAGATTGGATATTTTTTCGTAATTAAATAAAGTGGATCAAACATAGATGTTGTTTAGATATTTGTGTTCCTTTGTGCTTTTGGCAGTGTATAAGCTGAATCATAAATTTTGCAGACCTTAATTTTTTCATTATCAGGGAAACTGATTTTAGCCACAAGTAAAGAAGTGTATATCTTGGTACCCTTGCCCTTGGAAAAACAAATTCAAGATCTTCTGACCAGCCAGAGAGTAGAAGAAGCACTGCTCCTAACAAGAGGAGCTCGACGAAACGTTCCAAAAGAGAAATTCCAGGTTAGTAGGATTTTAACTGGAGTAATGGTTAAATATATTTGTCATGTGTAAAGATCGTTGTTTGAGTAAGCAGTGAATATTAGATTGTAAGGTATCTAAGCTATTCCTTGTTTATTACCAGACGTGTATTTTGTTTCTTGTCTGCCCTACACACTCCTCTTCATCCACATTCACTACTACCCATTTTACTTGTAAAAATGAGCCTGATATCCATTTATTACTGAGATTGTGAACCAGATGTGTCTATTGTTCTTCATTAATTTTTGCTGCAGTTCAAATTGCCTTTAGACCTGTTACGGGCAGGCTGTGTTGTAGAGTGAATTTGATGTGTTCTATTTTCTCTTCAAATATGATTATTTTTAACTGATGTGCTCTTATGAACTTTGAGCACTGTGCACTACTGTGTGTTCTCAACTTGAGCTTTTGGTAGTTATGAAAGAATAACGTATTGGGAGTGAAATATAAAAGTGCACTGCATGGTGGTGATCATTTCTGCAAAGAAATAAAACTGCATCACAAATTTAACTTGGTGGCACTGAAGGTATTATTTTTCTGTGAAATGTTTTAAGCAAAGTATTTTTTTTCAATAAATACATCCAAAATCTAATTTGCACATAGTTGAGATTCATCATCTCGGGCAAGCGTCTGTGCAAACTGGTAGTCCCTGTTCAGGGCTCATTCACTTATTAGGTACACAAGCGGCATTCAAATCTCTTTACTTGGAAGGCAATTTTCTGGAATTGCCCTGTCATATCTTATAACTTTACTTGGCACATTGGCTCAGAGATAGATACTTGTTTCTAAGGTTTTGGAGTAGATTTGTAGCTCGGGTTGCGAAACAAGAAACTAGCTCGGTGAGCCAACCAACCTCAATAGATACTTGTTGGTGTGGGATCAGCTGTCTTCAATAAGTCCCCTAACTGCTCACAACACTTCAGTTTGTCTATCTTTAGCTATTTTTTCTTCATAAACCTGAGAATGCTTATCTTTGGAAATTTGTTTGAATAATTATCAAAAGTGGACTATAACCAACGCCAAAATGATACATCTCTAGATCTCACACACACAGCTCATGGTACCTGTACTAGGTGAGGGGGGAATGACAACGACTTCTTCTGCTTTCCTTAAGAACTTTAGAAAGCCCCAGTAAATAATTTGTGTTGATTGTTGTGAGGCTTCAACTAACCATGGTTACTTAATGATGTTCATAAACACTTCATTAACCTTATCTGTTTATTATACATAGGGTATGTACAGAAGAATTCTGCAGCAAGCAGGATTTATACAGTTTGGCCAGCTTCAGTTTTTAGAAGCTAAAGAACTCTTCAGGTATAAACACCAATAGAATTCTGTGGCATTAGTTAATGAATAGCTAATTTTTCTTTAAAGCTGAATTGTTTGCACGCAACTCTAATTTCCTTTTAATAGTTTGCAGCAAAACCACTGTTACATATTTGCATTACACTTCCAATGTTGGCTTAAGAAAATACTTTGTTTTTAAAATGAAAGGTCAGATGTAATTTTTGGGAAATTAGTTAGCTATACCCCACCAGGTTATGTTTACCAAAGATATCACATCAAAAATATTGTGTTTTTGTTTTACTGTTAATAAATTCTACATCAGTGTATTATATTTAAACAAACAATTTTAAGGGAGGAGTGTCCAAATATCATATCTGGGAAGCAGGAATCAACTTTAATACATGCAAATAGCAATTTGCTCTAATGGTATTTACCTTGCATGATTTTATGTATTATGGTAGCCATTCAATTTTATCTGGGGAACAAATCTATTGATTTGGTATTGTGTAATGGTGCGTAATGAACTTTTGCAGAAGCTGTCAGAATGTTTCAGAATTCTCTTTGTCCTGCCTTTTGTCTAAAGGTTCAACTTGATCTTGCCCATTAGGCATTTACATCGAATATTAAATTTACTATGGCTCTTAACTGCCATAAATCATAAAATGTTGCAGCACAGGAGACTGTTTATGCACCTCTGAAAGAGCTATTCAGTCAGTCCTGTGTCCACTCCTCCAGTTAGAAGGATTAATACTTTTGCTTCTATGCATTAGTTCACATCTAGCTATCTAATACCTTTAATTAAAAAAGTAGTTCCTTTAAGACAATCTGAATTATTTTGCTATTCTGATATGGACATTATATTAAGCATTTATAGTTTGTACTTATTTAATTTTATCTTTGTCGACAGGAACGGCCAGCTTGATGTTAGAGAGTTGATGTCTCTCTATCCATTACTGCTTCCTTCAACTTCAACATTTATACGGTCACATCCCCCACTACATGAATACGCTGACTTAAATCAATTAATGCAGGGTGACCAGGAGAAGATTACAAAGTGCAAGCGATTCCTTATGAGCTACTTGAATGAGATTCGGAGCACTGAAATAGCCAATGGTTATAAAGAAGATATCGACACAGCTTTACTAAAACTGTATGCTGAAGCTAATCATGACAGTTTGCTGGATTTGTTGGTTTCAGAAAATTCATGTCTCTTAGTGGACAGTATACCCTGGCTGGAAAAACACAAAAAGTATGTAACTCAGTTAGTTGTCATGTATTTTCATAAAAATTGGTGGATATCATTGCCTTTTGTGTCCTAAGAACATAAAAAGCTGAGGTCATTTTGGCCCAAACAATGTTTAAATCCTAAGTATCTCATCAAAGTGGAATCCAAATGAATTCTGTGATTCATGCCTCCAATTTGTCTTTATGGCTCCGACCCTGCTGAATAGAGTATTCCAAAAGTGGAAGTTCTTCCTGATATCGGCTTTAAATTAAAAATTAATACATTTCTATTTATTTTAGTGATCCTGCTTCATTTAGCTTTTAAAAGTCATAATTTGCTTGTGATGCATGTGCGGTACTATTTGAGTTATTACATAGTTTCTATGTAAGGAACTAGAACAGAAATGGAAATAGGAAGAGAAATAGGCCATTTGGCATTTTCAGCATGCTTCCGCATTTAGTGCGGAACTGCCTGATCTTCAAACTCAGTTCCACCTCCTGAACTGTCTTCAAATTCCATGACTCCCTGAATATGTAAAAATCTGTTGATCTCCACTTTAGGTATATTCACTAACTGTACATACACATGTCTGGAGGAGGTTTGAATGAACCATAGTTCTCTGTATGAAAATGTCTCCCTTCTCTCTCTCCAAAATAGTGATCTCTAGTTCAAGATCCTCAACAAGGAAAAACATCATCCCAGCATCTACACTATCTAAACCATTAATAGTTTCATTTGTTTTAATTAGATTTCCTCTTATTCCTCCAAACTCTAGAAATATACCCTCATTCAATTCGATCTGTCTCAGTCAGACAATCTATTATCCGAGCAACCAATCTAGTGAGCATTGTTGCACCTTAATTCAAGGCAAGTGTATCCTACCTTGGGTAAGGAGACCAAACCTGTACTTAGAATTAGGTGTGGGTCTTACCAGGGCCATGTATAGTTGTAGTAAGACTTTTGTTTTATATGATATGGAAGTATAAAAGATAAATAAAAGCTAACATAACTAACCTAACAATAAAAAAACTAACGTCATTTGTGTTGTAGGATGTTGGTTAGCTTAATTGGCTGGATGGCTGGTTTGCAATGCAGAGTGATGCCAACAGCATGGGTTCAATTCCAGCATCGGATAAGGTTACCATGAAGGACTGTCCTCCTCGATCTCTCCCCTTGCCTGAGGCGTGGTGACCCTTGGCTTAAACTCCATCAGTTGTCTCTCTCTATTGAGAGAGCAGCCCTATGGTCTGGTAGAACTGCGCTGACTTTACCTTTTGTATTTTTGTTCTACTGCATGTTAACTTCGTTTGCATACAAAAAAACAAATTAACATTCCCTGGTCTCTCTTTCTAAAAAAAAAAGTTGTTTTTGGCTATCAAAGTGAATTACTTTATATTTCCCCACAGTATATTCCATCTTCCACCTTCTTCCTCACTTACCCAACCAGTTTATATTCATCTGCAATCTCATTGTGACCTCCTCACTACTTACTTCCCCACCTATTTTTCTATCATCAGCAAAGTTGAACAGGTTATACACAGTTCCTGCATTTTAGTTATAACTGTTGATTGTAAATGGCTGAAACACTTAGTGCTGATGCTTGTGATTTCTCACTAGTTTCAGCTTGCCAACCTAAAAAGAACCTGTTTATTCCTCCTCTCCATTTTGTGTCCATGACCCATCGGTACCAGAAGCCTTAACGTTATGAATCTCTTTTGTGTGGAACTTTTTCGGTGTTCCTTTTGAGAATCGAAATATATTACTTCCTTTGGCCTCCCCTCATCTTCCCTGCTGATTGCAAACCTTAAGATTTCTGTTTCTTAAATCCATATATACTTTATACCTCCTAATAGATTTTAGCATTTTCCCTACTACTGTCAAGTTAACAGACCTATAGTTCTCTGTTTCATTTACTCCCTTAGTTCTTGAATAGCAAGGCAATGGTTACTACCTTCTAATCTATGATAGCAATTCTAAAATCTAAGAATTCTGAACGTGCATGTAGTTGCTTTGAACAATCTCTGCCACCAGCTCTTTCAAATCTCAGATACAAGCCATTGGGTTGTGGGCATTTGTGAAAGCTATTTAAATTTGTCAAATTAAACTTAATTTAAATGGAAATTATTTGGAAAAGTGAAACAATTGTTGTTACTGATTTATAATGTTTCATCACGCTCATGTTTCAGGTAAACACTTATATCTACAGTGTTTTCTGATTCTCACACTTGTGGTTAAGCATTCTAAAATTATTCTATAATCCAGCAAGTTATGAAATCCAGAAATGACTTGGTCCCAAACATTCTGAACTAGAAAGATTACAAAGTATTATAAGTCTCTTTCTTTAATCTAATGTTATCTTTAACTTCTCTTGTCAGCCAGGGTTGGTTGATATTTCCTGTGGGCCTTTATTCCTAAAGGGCATGTGTACTCATTATGAATTATGAACTTATTCTTAACATGTCTGTCTGTACTTGTCTACCGTCAAAGCTTTTAATCTAGTGTTGCAACCTACCTTCGCCAAACTGCCATTTATACCTAACTTGCTTTATTCCGACTTAACTGTATCAGGTCATGGTCGCTATTCTCCAGAAGGTCCTTTACTATAGGGTTATTAAACTTCAAAAACATACATTAAATGTACTGTCATGATGCTCCTAACACTACAGTACAAGCACAATACTGAATCCAAAATAATCTTCCCACTTGGTTCCTTGGTGCATTGATCAATATTAAAAACATTCCATGAGCTTGTCTATTACTGCAAGTTTGGTTTGCCCAGTCGATATGATAATTAAAGTACTCCATAATTTCTCTCCATCCCTTGTTACATGTAGTTCTAATTTTCTGACTTGTACTCTAACACAACAATTATGCCTGGAGATCAATTCGCTACTCTCACCCAAAGATTTTCTGCCTGTTAGATCCACCTAACCTGATTTAAGGCCCTTTCTCACTGCTGATTTTTTGTTTTCTAAATTGCCTTATGTTTTTGACAATCAAGTGTCTTCAATATTTGGTTACCAATCTTGGTTATCCTGCCATCGTGATTCTATAATGGAACTCTTAGAATCCCTACAGTGTGGAAACAGGCCCTTCGGCCCAATAAGTCCACACTGACCCTTGGAGCATCCCACCCAGACCCACCCCCTTATAACCCACCTAATCTACACATCCCTGAACACTATAGGCAATTTAGCATGGCCAATCCACCTAGCCTGCACATCTTTGGACTGCGGGAGGAAACCCATGCAGACACAGGGAGAACGTGCAAACTCCACACAGACAGTCACCCAAGGACGGAATCGAACCCGGGTCCCTGGCACTGTGAGGCAGCAGTGCTAACCACTGAGCCACTATGCTGCCCCAATTTATGGAATTTTTTTTTTCTCTGCCAACAATTCATAACAAGTGTTTTCTGTACAAAAACAGAAATTTGTGGAGAAACTCAGCAGGTCTGGCAATATCTGTGGAGTGAAAGAAGAATTCTCTCTCTCCTATATGTTGCCACACCTGCTGAGTTTCTCCAACAATTTCTGTTTTTGCTTCCGGTCTTCAGCGTCCACAGCTCCTTGTTTCATTTAAGTACTTTACGTATGTGGTTAGCTGTAACATTTTTCTATTCTTCTCTCATGTCACCATGGTCACCAATGCCTATTATTACTGTTACGTTCTTTGTTTCTGCGTGATCCAATCTGCTTATTTTTACTCAAATTGTTTCTCTGTTACGTAAGATCTAGGAGCAAGAGCAGGCAGTTCAAGTCTTTGAGCCTGCTCTGCCATTTGACATGATCCTGGCTGATCTACAATCTTGTCTTTTCTCCTACTATTCTTGAATTACCTGATTCCTGAATTCTCTCTCAGCTCTTCAGCTTCCGTAAATTGCTTGATTTGAGTCACTTAAATGGCCATTTATCTAGGTTATTAGAGAAAGTGTTGTGTGGTACGTTGAACAGATCAGTTGTACTGTAGTGTTAGGAGTATCATGACAGCATGTTTAATGTATGTTTTTGAAGTTTGCTGATCCCTAGCACAACACAAGATATTGACATCTTAAATCCAGCTAAATGCTATAGCACTTGAGCTGTTCTAAGGCAAGTGAACTAATTTTGTTTTGACTTGTTTTTCTGAACACAGGTATTTTGCACTTGGTCTTCTTTACCATTATAATGGTCAAAATGAAGCAGCGCTACAGGTAAGTTAGTGTTCACACTTCTTATTGATTACTACTGTCTGTGCATATCTGCATTGCTGAAATGCAAGGAAGAAATAAACCAGTGTGTCTCAATTAGAGAGGAGAGGGAAAAACTGTGAATATGTTGATAATTGTGGCAAGAGAAGGCTGTTTTCAAATGAACCAGGCATGTAATCCAGAAGCACTGACACCATAAGCTGGCTTTTTCGTGGTGTTGAAATAATTATTTCTGTATTTTATGACGTTCAGGTATGTTTGGCGTGAAGCTTACGGAACTGGAGCAGTCCTAACAATATTTTTCATTGTCTGCTAGCTGTTTGTATGGGTCAAAGTAGAGATAGAAGCTGTGGTAGTCAGTGACATACCACTGAAAAGTTTTTATCTACACCAGTGAAAATAATTTCTCCAAGGTGGATCTCACTGTCAGACTTGTGTATTTCTGATCTTGGTGAATCCAAACAGTTTCACCCTTCATTTGCAGATTGTTACAGAGCAAGCACATATTAGGAATACAGTTAGTGCAACATGAAAGTGCTTGCTGCAGTAACGTGTTGATGGGTTCTAGAGACAGTGATAGTTTATATGGTGGAGAGTGAGCAATGATGAAGGTAGATGAAAATACCCTGTTGTGGGTGGCGATATCATAAAAATATAGGTATTTTGGCCTAGTTAACTTAATCTGATATAAATCACTTGCTGGGACATGACACCCACAGAACCGGTTTATGATTATTACAATGGAATGGTGTTGTTATTGTCCTAGCTTTTGAGATTTTATTGCTTATGGAACTACAAACAGCACGTGAAAATCCAATGAAATTGAAGACTGCATTGAGGGAAATGAGTCAATGCAGTTAAACAATGGAAGAGCATCTATTTAAAATTCCTGATTCTAACTGGAATCAACGGAGAAGCTCACTGCTATTCAACATGACAGGTTGAGTATTTACTAAAGTATACAATTACATACAAGAGGCTGCTGATTTGGTCACAGCGCTCAATGTTTCTCTCTAAAGGTGCAATTTGGTCAGTTGGAACAAACTTGTGCTGACTGGAAGAAGCTTTTTGATCAGGAAATAATGTAGATCAGCAAGCACAGCTGAATGGAGCTTTGTATGAGTTAAAACGTGGGCAGCAGTAGGCAGTAGTAAGAGAGTTTATAGAGTAGGGACTGAAAACAACACATCTACTTTTGCAATTATTTGATTAAAAGCAAACAAATAAACGTAAAAACTTTCAGTGGACTTTTCAAATTAACTCTTATGGTTTAAATGTACAACCTTTTGTTTTTCAGTGGCATGTCAATACTTTATGTTCATACCTTTATTTATATTAGCACTCTGGAAAATGCCATTCAAAAAAATTACAAATTTTGGAGAAGTTAACAAGATTACATAGATAATGATTTTATTAATCGTTAATTTTATTTACCATTGCTGAGCAGTCAGGAACATGCATGCTGTAACGGAAAGCAGTTACTGTGAATGCAGAATCAATTTTAAATTCTCAGTAGGCATAAAGGAAATCAAGTTTGGGTAAACTTGTATTTTGGCTATGGATCAGTTCATATCTGTGTGAGTTGTTAACTCTCTTTTCTCCCCCCACTTAAGAACATTGCAGATTTCAAACTGATTGTCAGCTTGTCTGTGTATAATTAACACAATTCAGATTTGATTTGAAATCGTTTTTAATGAATATTCATTTATCAAGTAATAGATTTCTGACATTTGAAACCTATTTCACTGTTGTTTACATAGTTTGGTTGTTTTGTTTACCACCTTTCTTTGTATTTTTATTAAAGTACAAAGTCCTGATGTCACTCACTGCAGAATTTGTCATCTTATCTGTCTAGCTAAGTTTTAAAACTTTAGTATGCCACATTATTCTTTGTCATGTTACTTTTGATGTGATGAGGACAAAATGTAAAAATTGAAACTCGGGCTAGAGAATGAAATTTATTCTTTAAACATTAAAAACAGCACAATTGTAGGGTGCAGGCTTTTCATCCGTACCCTTTAGATCCTGTAGGCAGTATTAAGAAAGCTTCCCCTGTAAGGTGCAATAGTTTTCTTTTATAAAAGCAGAGTCCAACATATTCTCCTTCATGGAAGAGATCTGCTAATAATAATTAGTGGGCATATTTCTAGTTGCTTCTTACATAACTGAATAGATATCGATGCTTTTCCTGTTTCTTCATTCGACTTTTTTTTTTGGTGTTTAATCACCCTTAAAGGTAAAAGGAGAGGTGAGTTGATATTCCAGTTGGTATATAGCAAGGTCCAGGATGTTTCTGTTTGTTCATGACCACTGCAAATAGGTAAGGATAATCTATAGTCTTAAAGTCATAGAGGCCCAACTTGTCCATGCTGCCCATTTTTCACAATTAATCTAGTCCCGTTTGCCTGCATTAGGTCCATATCCCTCCATATCTATCCCATCCATGTATCTGTCCAAATATTTCTTAAATAATAAAATTGTACTTGCCTCCATCACTACCTCTAGCAGCCCATTCCAGATGATCACCACCATCTGTGTCGAAAAAATTGCCCCAGTGAACACTTTTTTGTATCTCTCCCCTCTCGCCTTAAAGCTGTGCTGTCTAGTTTTAGACTCCCCTACCATGGAGAAAATCTGTTGGCTATCTACCTTATCTATGCTGCTCACGATTTTACAGACCTCAGAGGTCACCCCTCAGTCTCTTATGCTGTTTTCTAGATAATTATTGGCAGTTAGAATTATAGTGTCATAAAGCACAGAAGAAGGTCCCTTAGCACATCAAGTCCATGTCAGCTCTCAGAAAAGCAATCCAGTCTGTCCTGTAGCATTACAAGCTTATTTCCCTTGAGCCACCCAGCTTCCTTTCGAAATTGTTACTTGTTTCCCTTTCCACCAATGTTGTAGGCAAAAAATTCCAGAATATTACAATTTCATGTATTAAAATGAAAGTTGTTCTTTCACGACCTTCTTGCTCAAACCATAAATTTGTGCCTTCCTGGTTCTTATACCAGCAGCTAATGAGACATCTCTTGTACATCTTTGTGAAGCTTTGCATTAACCACTTTTTCTGCAAGGAAAGCAATCCCAGCTGCTTGTACATAATCTTGCAGCTAAAATCCTTCAACACTGATTCTGTTCTGGCTTATCTCCTGTGCATTGTACCACGGACTTTCATATCCTTCCTGAATTGTAGTGAATTGTATGTAATATTTTATTTTTTGAGGTTTATGGAAGTTTAGAAGAACTTCCCTACCTTTGTACTTAATGTACTTTTGCACTTTCAACATATGTAAGCCCAACATCCAATATACTTTTGATAACTACTCTCCTAATATATCCTTGCATCTTCAAAGATCTGTGCACGTGAATCCCCAGGACACTCTGTCCCTGCACGCTTTTTAGAACTGTGTCTGTCCCTATACTTTTTGCCAGAATAGATCACCTCTTAGTACTCCATGCTAAATTCTATCTCTTACCTATTTGTCCGTTCTGCAAGTCTGTGTCATTTAGATCATCTTCATAATCCACCAGACGTCATTGAGCCATACAGCATGGAAACTGACTCTTCGGACGAACCAGTCCATGCCGAACATAATCCCAAACTAAACTAGTGCCACCTGCCCACTTCTGGCCCATATCCCTCTAAACATTTCCTATTCATGTACTTAGCCAATGTCTTTTAAACATTGTAATTGTACCCACATCCGCGACTTCCTCAGGAAGTTCATTCCACATGTGAACCACCCTCTGTTTTTTAAAAAAAAATTGCCCCTCATTTTTTTTAAAATCTCTCCTCTTGCCATAAAAATGTGCTCCCTAGTCTTGAAATGCCCCATCCTAGGGAAAAGTCAACTCTAGCTATACCTCTCAATTTTTTATAAACTTTTATAAGGTCGCCGATAACCTCCCATCCTCCAGTGAGAAAAGCCCCACGCTATCCAGCATTTCTTTATAACTCAAACCTTCTATATCCAGCAACATCCTTGTAAATCTGTTCTGAATGCTCTGCAGCTTAATAATGTCCTTTCTATGACAGGGCAGCCAGAACTGGACATAGTATTCCAGAAGAGGCCTCACCAATTACCTGTACATCCTCAACGTGACTTCCCAACTTCTTTACTCAAAGGACTTAGAGCAATTGAGGCAAGCTTGCTAAACGCCTTTTAAACCACCCTGCCTATATGTGACACAAGCCTCAAAGAATTATGTACTCTCATCCCAGGTCCCTCTGTTCAACAAGACTACCCAAGACCCTACCATTAATTGTATAAGCCCTATCCTTGTTTGTTGTACCTAAGTGCAATACCTTGCACTTCTCCAGATTGAACTTCATCTGCCATTTTTCAGTCAATTGAGCCATTTGATCAAGATCCCTTTATAATCTTAGAAAGCCTTCTTCACTGTCTACAGTGCCACCAATTTTGGTGTCTTCTGCAAACTCATTAACCATGCCTTGTATATTCTCATCCAGATTATTTATGTCAATGACAAACAAAAGAGGACCCAGAATTGATCCCTGTGAAATACTGCTGGTGACAGGCCTCCAGTCCTTAAAGCAACCGTCTTGCACCACTCTGTCTCCTGCTGTTAAGCCAATTATGTGTCCAATAGGCAAGCTCACCCTGAATCCAGTGTGAGGTAACTTCACTAATTAGTCTACCATGCGGAACCTTGTGGAAGGCTTTACTAAAGTCCAAGTAAACAGCGGCTATTGCTCTGTCCTCATCAGTCTTTTTGGTAACTTCCTCAAAAAAAACACATTTGGTATCATTGGTAAACGTTGGAATTTTGCACTGCTCCAATGCTCCATTTTTATATCTTTGAAAAGCAGTGAAGCTAATACTGACCCTTGTAAACATTACTGTCTACCATCATCCAGTTGAAAATATTACCTCTGCTTGCTGCTTTCTGTCCTTAAATCAATTGGTTTTTCTTTTATTCAAACTGTCACTTTGTTCCAGTCATAAGCTTCAACTTTGTTAGCTGGCCTCCCATGTATTAATTTATCAAACATTTTCTTAAAAATCCATAAAAATAGCATCTGCCACATTCTCTTCCTCCACTTTCTCTGTTACTTGATCAAAAAAATTCATTTAAATTATATAAGCGCAATCTATGCCAGCTGGCTTTCCTTGATTCAGTCCCCACCAAGCGCTTGTTAATTCTTACTTGAAAATTATTTCTAAAATCTTGTTTACCACTGATGTTGGATTAAGAATATAACTTATTGCTTTTCTTGAACAGGTATTTCTCATTTGCCACATTGCAATTCTCTGTCTCTATATAGGACTCCTGTGGTACAATGATAGTGTCCCTACTTCTGAACCAGGAGGTCTGGGTTCAAGTACCATATGCTCCAGACATGTGCAGTAACATGTCTGGACAGGTTGATTTAAAAACATTTCCTCTGCCACCATCACCTCTGTGTCAGGAGGGCCAGGTTCAAGTGTGCGATAATATTTCTGAACAGGTTGATTAGAAAATAGCCTTTGCCACTGACTCCTTATCTAAGGAAGTTTGAAAGATTATTACACAACCTTCCTCAATCTCCCCTCCCCACCAAATGCCTGAATAACATGGGATGTAAGCCATCTGCACCAGCTTCTCTGCTCTAAGCACATCCAGCTTTCAAGTGCATCCTCTCAATTTTCACCTGCTCCTGTATCTCTGCTTCAGCATCCTTTTTTATTCATTGAATCCCTACAGTGTGGAAACAGGCCCTTTGGCCCAACAAGTCCACGACGACCCTCAGAGCATCCCACCCAGACCCATCCCCTGTAACCCACCTAAGCAACACATCCCTGAACACTATGGGTAATTTACCACGGCCAATCCACCTAGCCTGCACAACTTTGGACTGTGGGAGGAAACCCACACAGACACGGGGAGAATGTACAAGTTTCCCACAGACAATTGCCCGAGGCTGGATTTGAACCTGGGTCCCTGGCGCTGTGTGGCAGCAGTGCTAACCACTGAGCCACTGTGCCGCCCTCGAAGCCTCCATGGCACCTTTCATTAGCAAACATTCATTTATTCTGTCTTTGCCCTGTGTTTATAAACATTTATCACCCTCTTTGTCCCTAATATTATTTACTTGCCTCTTGGTGTTTACATGCCATCAGAAGACCTTTGGGTTCCCTTTACGTTAACTCTCCTCTATTCTGATATTCTCCATTTGCTGGTCTCTGCTACATTTTTTACATTACAACAGTGACTTCACTTCAAACACACGTAGTTGGCTCCAGTTGGCTGTGAAGTGCCTTGAGAAATCCAATGTTCATGAAAAATAGCAAGTTAGTCTTCTTTCCTTGGTTTTTGACTTACCCTCCCTTTCAATCTAATGTACTTGGCTTGCGTTTTGTCTGACAAATTTGCCTGATGCACATCGTATACTTTTTTTTTGTTTCATCGTATTCTCGTTTAAGGAACCCTTGCTCTCTCACTTACTGAAATGTGTGTAGCCTGTACCTGGAACATTTCTTCTTTAAAGATCAGTCATTTGTTCCATTAACGTTTTCCCTGTCACTTCACTTAACTTTGGCATGGTCCCCTCTTATTCCCAATAAAGATAGCTGTCTTTCAGTTTGGAGGTTCTACTTTAGATAGTTTCTTGCTGTTCTCCGTTACTAGTCTAAACCTTATGATGATCATACTTAGCTATGTCTTTCCCGACAGGTACTTGCTCCATTTTAGCTGACTCCATTTCCTAGCAACAGATCCAGCAGTTGGCCTGAGACCATACTTGAGAACAGATTTCATAAATTCTTCCTTTCCTTATCCATTGCTGTAAGCCCTATCTCGGTTAACATTTGATTAGTTAAAGTTTTCCATTATCCCCCAGCTTAATAAGGTTAACTAGACTATGTATGGTTTTTGAACCAGATGTTCACTGCTTATTTCTGTTGTCTTTAATTTTGAATTGGAGTTTCATTTAATCTCAATCAAATGAAATCCTAACTTTATCATGGAATCATTTTACTTCTGAGAATGGGGATGTTTGAATCAATTGCATCAGTGATCTTTTAATCAGTTCATAATCCTATTGTATTAACTTTCACTCTGTTTTCTTCCCCTTCCCTTCCTTTCCTAATTGAGGGAAGCTTGGTGTTAATGTACTTTTTTTGGTTGCTATTCTAACTAGAATTAAGTAACTCCGCTCAGATTGAGGATTGAGCCTCTAACCTGAATCAGAAATATAAAGGTTGAAATCTTAACCTTCAAGCCACTGGAGGAACAGAATGGAAAGGTGTTGTGATTATAATAATATGATTATTGATGCTTAATGACATGCTTTGAAGGACAGGGTGCAATGAAGTTATCTATAGATGGAGGTGAAATCATGCCTATATTATGTGGAAAAATTGAAAGGAAGAAGTTTTTTTAAGAATTGTACACTGTCAGTGGAGGTATTGCAAGTAAATTAAAAGACATACATAATAAATTTATTACTCCTTTTGCTTGTGTATTGCATGTGAGCCAGACAGTCTGTCAGAAATAAAGACAAACCCAATCCTGATAAAACTAGCACTTCCACACAGTGATGCAGTCAGAAACCTTCCAAGGTATTTCAGGATGATAATGGTTGGTCAATCGACGGACTGAGGCATTGCTATGGAGTAAGCAACAGTAAACTGTTAGATCCCTGAGCCCCAAGTAATTCAAAAAAGACATGTATTGCTGCAAAACACATTTTGTCTGAGTTTTTCATCTTTCATTCATCAAGACATTTCAGAAAAATACAAATTCATGGAGAAAGCCAATATTTATATTGCATGAGAGGAGAGTGCCGATTGGTAGCTTCCAGTTTGTTGAAAATAATACTTGCGCGGCCAGTACATAGTAAAAGAATGAACCTGCTTGCTTAATGTGCTCAAATGTCTTTTTGATCTTTCAAATTTGTAATGTGGTTTATTTACACTTGATAGAAATTAAATACATTCGTATGCAGGGACACCTTCTGTGCAAATAAAAGAAATATGTTCAAGGCTTGGATGTTATTTGAATTACCGGGAAATTGTCAGCATCCATTTCTCCTTGTTATATAAATTGTTCCAATTGGTCACCCAATTTTGGCATTCTTGCATTCCGGTTCTACAAAGTGGCCGTAAACGATAGTTATTAAAATCCTGGGGATGATGAGCAAATGTTTTGTTTGAGCAATGAATGTTGAAAGGAGACAGTAGAAATCTCAAATGTAATCAGAAAATGTTAAACATTTGGCAGGCAAGGAAGTATCTTTGTAAAGAGTGAAGTCACGTGACAGCAGGTTATTTTTCCAATGTGTTTATCCAAAATCATAAGCTTTTAGAGTACTGCTCCTTCGTCAGGTGAAGCAGCAGCGCTCCAAAAGCTTGTGATTTCAAATAAACCTGTTGGACAATAACCTGATTTCATGTGACTTCTGACTTTGTCCACTCCAGTTTAGCACCGACACCTCCATATCATCTGTAAAGAATGGATGTGTTAGCATTTGAGTTATAAATCCTTTGTCAAAACTTTTAAGAAATTACAACTGCAGAATTTGTAAAGGGAAACAATGCAGGGTTGGTGTGTGTGTGTGCGGTTGGCAGAGGGTGCAGGGAAGAGGTAGTGTGGAGGGGATGGTGTGGAGATGCTGCTCCTGAAGTCTGTATTGAGCTTAATTGGACCAGTGAAGAAGGGCAAAAGACAGGCATTAAACTTGCGTAACTAAATTAACAAATGTGAAAGAGCATGAGCCATAGTTGTGAACAGCGCAGGGGTTTGACAAGGTAGCCACCTAATCTGTTCTCTTTAAGTTAAATGAAAAAATATTTGAGGTGTTTCAGATTAAGGGACTTTGTTCCTCCCATTTACCTTATCAATTTCCACCATTCGACCATTAGTTAACTATAAGACATTAATGATTTTCTCTTAGTTCTTTTCTCATGTGCTGCAATATTGTTCAGCACCAATGGTCTTTTTAAAGGTGGTGCTGGCTTGGTGCTTTAGTACAACATTTACTTACTGTGCCCATGGCAAAGACCTTTTCAGTTTATAACTTAATGCCTAGCTTTGTTTGGACAAGAGGATGTTCACTAGACTATCGATTGCAGACTTCATTGCCTATTTTATTTCAAAACTCTCTCAATCTCTTTCACACTTGATATTTATTGATGATGTTTCTGACAATTTGAGGCATTTATACAATTTTTTTTTTCATTTTTTTGTTTCTAATAGTTATGGGTGAAGATAGTTGAAGGACAGCTCCAGGATACAACCCGTTCAGATCTTTTTGAATATATTGTGGATTTTCTCAGTTTCTGCTCTAACCATGAACTGGTGTGGAAGTATGCAGACTGGGCCTTGCAGAAAAATGAAGAGGTTTGGCTTTTTTTTTGTTTCATGAGTACAGGTGCTACATGTGTTGTCATTGTCTTTCATGTTCGTTATTACTGTTTGGCTATTTAGCCTCATCTGGAAAATTAATTGTAGAATGTACGAAGAGGAGGCATCTCATAATCATTTACAAGTACAACTTTATTTTGATAGCAACACCGGAATTATTTTCAAAAACAAATACCGAATTAATTTCTTTTCTGACAATATTCAGTTATATTTATTTATTGTAATTATGAGCATCAATAGCCTGTTAAACAAAATGGTGCAAGTTTCCTTTAGCTGCAGGGAATAGAGACTGAAAAGATTTTTTTTTAGAAAATGTCTTAAAAACTGAAAAATTGTTTTGATAATCTCTTATGAATCTCTTTTATACAGGTGTGACATTTTTAAAACTAAAAATCAACCTGTGAGAATTTGAATATTTATCATGAAGTACCAACTGGCTTCAGAATTGGTACTGAATAAATCTGCTACGAAAATATTTCCCTTAAAAAAAAAAACTTGCTCAGCTGAACAAACTGCAGATTGTATATATACTAAGCTAGATAGGCAAACTATGGGGTACTGAACCTGTGATTGTCGATGAAGATCATTTCTAAATTTTGTCAAGCCAAACAAGCCTGCGAACACATTGGGCTTGAGGAGGAGAGATAGAGGGCTTCTTTATTCCCTGCAAACACATCTGTCAAGCAATTGCAGGCTTGTGTTTATTTGATTTAATTGAGAAATTCACAAAGATTGTGTCATGTGATGAATCAGAAATCTGATTTATTATGAAGTGTTCAAGATGAAATAAATTGGGAATCTCTACAGTGATATACTTATCATTGTCCTGTTCTGATGTAGGTTGGTGTACAGATTTTCACAAGGCGACCCTTGGATGAAAGCCAGACAAGTATGAATCCAGATGACATTGTCAACTACCTTCACAAGTACAAGAAAGCAGTTGTCATGTACTTGGAACACTTGGTATTTGATAGAAATGTTCAGGTAAATTTTCAGCAATCCTCGTAATTTGAATCTACAGCTTGGAAATTGAAAAATATTGCCACTGTTTGCAATGCATAAATGTGCAACATAAACGTTCTTTCTGTGGGAAAACTCTAGATTTAACAAAAAAAAACTTGTAACTGTTCCTACTGGAGCCTTTAAATCATGCAAATGCTCAATAAAAGGCTGAATGGTACTGTTATCCCTATACCAAATTGAGCAGCCATCACTGTTGAAATAACTTTCAGTGGAATACATTTCTTTAGAAACTTAACATTTGAAATTACCTTTTTAACATAGCTAACTAAAAATGGATTTTTTGGAAGGGGAAGACCACTTGACCCTGCTTAGCTTATGCATCATGAAAGGTCATAGTCTCAAACTCTTATCTCCCTGCACTTCACAACAGCAGCCAACTGTTAAAACAATTAAATGGATCACCTTCGTTACTCCATCTTGGAAATCTGTTCCATTTGTTAATCACTTATTTGAAAACATTTCTGACATCAATTTGAAGTAGAGCAAACTTTTTATTAACCAACACCTATGGTATCAGGAGTGTGCTGGTGGATCAAATATTCTGGTTGATCAGGAGACCCACATAATCAATGTAAAAACACACACTAAGTAATAGAAATATTATGCAGGGGAAATACACATTGCTGTTATACTTTATTTACAGTGTAAATCACTTATATAGTAACACAACTTCACCTTAAATAAAACTTACCGGCAGAGAGCCTTCTGACTTGCACCTTCAACTGACTATTTGGACATTGCGATAATACAGTAAACCTCCAGTATTTGAGATATATAGTTTTTGTTGGTTTATTGAGGTGCAGGTTGAAATAAAATTTGCTGTATTCCCTTCAGTGGTTTGAATTTGAGTCCTTATGTCCTTTTTGAAGTTGTTAAATTGAATCTATTCAATTACTTATATATTTTTGTTTCATTCACGATGTATTTCCAGAGATGCCTCCTTCCATTAAATATCCTTTCTTGGTTGCTATGGCTGCAGTTCAGATTGTCTAAATCTGGCTTGATAGGCATTTACGAACATATAAGACCATTGTGTTCTATCTAGCTGATTGATAGCTCTAAAACCCTTCTATCCCGTTTCTGTTAAATCTTTGTTCCCTGTTTTTATTTTTAATCAACGGATTGAATTATCCTTGATTTATTTGCATCTACAGAAGGAAAAGTACCACACTCATTTGGCTATACTGTACCTGGATAAAGTTCTAGAATTGCACTCCCAGTCAGGTAGCATTTCAGAAGAACTAATTTCAGCTCGTCGCAGTCTCAAGAACCTGCTTCAACACTCTAATCTCTATAGAGTTCATCTTTTGCTAGGTAAATCTTGCCATCATATTGTCACAAATTTAATATTTGAAAGAAATGCAAGGTAAAATCTATAATATTTAAGCTTACATTATTCACTTGAAAATAAATATATTTTCATAGCCTATGTATTCATTACACAAAAAGGAGACAAGTAGCTTTGTTCTTCCTTGTTTATTCCATTCTAAGTCTAGCTTTATCTAACTGTCTGGGCAAAAGCCCTTCATTGATTTTCAAGCCAAAGAAAAGACATAATTATTGGCTTGCCTTCAGTAGTGAGCTGTTCTGTTGATAATTAACAGATATTTATGTTGAAAGGCCAGCAAGTAATTGTACATGAGTTGGTATAGACTAACATCAAATTTCTTTTGCGTGTCAAATTCTCTGGGAAAATGGGTTCAAATCCTATCATAGCTGATAGAATTTAACTGTAATAAATAAATCTGAAATGAAAGCTTATCTTTGTAATGGTGACCATGAAACTACTGTTTGATTGTTGTAAAAATCTAACTGGTTCACAAATATCCTGTAGAGAAGGAAATCTGCCAACCTTACCTGGTCTTGCCCACAAGTGACTGCTGATCCAAAGCAATATAGTTGACTCTTGACTGCCCCTGAAATAGTCTAACCAGACACTCACTTTAAGCCAAATTAGGGACAGGCAATACCCACATCCCATGAAAAGAATAAATTTAAAATAGGAAATTCTTGAATAAGAGAAATCTGTGCACACTCTGCTCATCTGTTGGATTTTTATGAAGCTGCTGACAGCAGTAGAGCATTTTGTTGGAAAGCATGTGCACCTGGCTTGTTGTATGTATCACCACATATTCATATTGTTTGATTTTGAAAAGTAATTGCTTTATACTATGCCATCTAGAAAGGCAGAAACTCATTTTTATTCTCCCCTTCCCCCTCACAGGTAAAATTAAAGACACTGATCTCTATATGGAATGTGCAATATTACATGGAAAACTGGAAGAGCATGAGAAAGCTCTTGAAATCCTAGTTCACAAGTTAAAGGATTTCGAAGCAGCTGAGGACTACTGTTTGTGGAATTCTAATAGAAAAGATTCTACATGTCGGCAAAGGCTCTTTCACATGTTATTAGCACTTTACCTGCAGCCAGGTGTCACCAGTGATGCATTAGCAATGGCTGGTGTGGACCTTCTAAATAACCACGCTGTTGAATTTGATGCTGTTCGAGTTTTACAGCAGGTCCCTGATAATTGGTCAATTCAACTGCTTTCACCATTCCTAACCAGGGCAATAAGAGGGAGCTTTCATTCCAAGTGCACAGCAGAACTTACATCAGGCTTGGCAAGATCTGAAAACTTAAATTATAAATATGCAAAGGTGGGTAGCTTTCTGTAGAATGAAGCCTTACACCTAAATTACATATGTTTTTTCAATTTTCCATATGAGATGAAGTTGAAAAGAAATCAAGCATTACAAATAGAACTATTCTAAATTTGAATTTACATTTCTATATTAAGATAATAACTAATATCTGCCTGGTGTATAAATAAATATTTCTCTTTATCTTCCTTATCCTATTCCATAGTGGTAAGGATTTAATATAATTGAGAACTTCAGAAACATTATATTTTTAAGGCAATGTTGTATTTATATAGATGTATTATTCCCAAAGAGCTTAATTTAATCTAGTCAGATTCCTTCTTGTCTTGCTGACCCCTTTCATTCCTGACTGACTGACTGGATTTTGCCAGCAGATCAGTAATTATCAGTCCTCTGTCTCTTCCTCAACAGTGTCCGTCCACTTGCAAGGAAGGTCTTTGTTGTTCACCACCTTTTAAAATTGATGATTGCATTGACAACATCTCTCCTGTTATTAAACTCTACCCTCATGGATACTTTCCAGTATCTCTGTCAGTCAAACCACTGCCATGCTGTCATGTCAGATACTATCCCTTAATGTGTCAATTTCAGGTGGTGGGATATGATGAGTGGCATGCCACTGGGATCAGAATTGGGGTTTCAATTATTTGCAAATCTATACAAGTGATTTGGATGAAAGGAGTAAATGTATAGTTGCTAAACTTACTGATGATACAAAGACAGATAGGAAAGTAAGTTGTGAAGAGGATGTAGAATTTCCCCTAAAAGGGATATAGATATGGCTAAATGCATGGGCAAAAGTTTGGCAAATAGAGTATTATGTGGGAAAGAGAACTTTAGCAAGAAGAATAGAAAAGCAATATATTATTTAAATAGAGAGAGTTTGTACAAGTCTAAGGAATAGAGGGAATAGTCTCCTAATGTATGAATCACTGAAGGTTAGTATGATGGTGCTTCATTAGGAAGGCAGATATAATAACAGCGTACATTTTGGTCTCTTTGTTTTAAAAATAGATGTATATTAATGAGAAGCAGTTCCGAGAAGATTCACTCGACTGATAATGGGCATGGGGGTTTTATCTTCTGATTAAAGGTTTGTCACCTGGGCCTATATCCATTAGGGTTTAGATGGGTGGGAGCTTAGACCAAATAAATTGTCCAAAAATTTACTTTTAGTTGGTGACCAACTCTCTATGCTTAATCACAACGTCTTGTCCTTCTGGGGTTCTAAGGGAAATCCGATTAGTCATTGAGAATGCAATGTTGTAACTGTTCAAAGTATGTTTGTCTCATTAAGCTGAAGAGTTAACAACATCTACTGTATAAGTGTAGTATTAGAGTGTTAATCAAGAATTCACTTCCTTTGCCTATCTATGGGCCCCAAAAAGATGAGTCTTGTCTTGACTTTACCTCTGCATGGAGTATACATTAGGCATTAAGAAACTTCTCACTGTATTCCCAAGGTAAATGTTCACGAAGAGCAAAGCATTAAATGCTGTGTTATACAACCGCCGCTGGCTTCAACTTTTATGTTGCAAAAATATATTCTTTTTCTGTCAGCCGCAAGATGGGAGATATAGACCAGATGGTGAGTCAAGCAGCTATTTGTATGAAGGTTTAATTAAAACTTGCAAGTGGCAGGACCCAAAAAAATCATGTTTCAAAATCAAGGACATGATTTGCAAAGATAATGCCCACAACGCTTGTTTTATGCAGCACAATATGAAAAGTTTTTTTTGTTTTCTTTTCCTCAGTTACAATGTTTGCAAAGTGCCTTGCGATATTCTGTATCGTTAGGTTCATAAATATCTACTCAGTGCAAGTTTTTAAGATCTTAAACTGAGGTGAACTGAAAAATAGTCCCCTGTTTTTGCTTTCTACTCCACACTCTTCAGGTAAAATCAAGAGGAAACATTATTACCCTTTCAGATAAAAAAGTCTGCCAAATATGCCAGGGCTTTTTCACAGAACCAATCTTTGTGCGATATCCAGACGGTGGTCTTGCTCACATCCAGTGTACTACAAAACACCACAGCCTGCCTGCTACTGATCAGAATTTTGCCAGTCGCAGAAATGTCATGAAATAGTGGCCTTGACATGGTGAGATGGTCACTTGAAAAATTACCTTGTTGAAGATCACCATAAGGAAGAGGAACATGCTGCTAATCAAGAAAGAAGAAGAAAAAGAAACCAGTCTGCATCTAGAATTTTCCAATGGACAGCACTGATTTACAAAGTAAATGCAGCCAAGCATTACCGGAACTTCTAGAATTCCCCACTAAGAATGATGCTAATAGCTGTAGTTTGCAACGTGCATAAAACACTGTCTGAAAACCTGGCCGTGTTTATTGACAAAGACAGCTGTCCTGTAGTGGATGGTTTGGGAATGTTGTCCAGTGAACGTGCAAGTGTCATACTTTATCCCTTGATCTTTTGCCTTCCATTGTATATGTATAGGCTGTTCTTGCTGCTCTTGGAAGAAGAGTTTTGGATCATCTGAGCATCTGTAATAGACTTTGGTCCAATAATTCTGTAATTGAATAACTATTATGTATGAACAATGGATTTGTGTGTCCCAGTACGTATATATTTCAAAATCTGACAGTTTGTTTCACATGTTAATGGTATGATGCCATACTTGTATCTATTACTTGGTCCTGACCAGCTCTTTTACATAATGAATTTACAAAGCATTATACTTTTCCTTCATACCCATGTCTTAAATCTGAGTTTTCCATCAGTGATAATGAATTACAGGCTGTCAATGAATGATGGTGATGGAAGGACAACAGAAAGGATCCAAGAGAACAAATGTTGTCTGATTTCTGATATGCCAAGTGTTTGAATCTGTATATCCTGACATGACATATGCATGAAATTTCCACAAACTTTTAAAGGGAAAGAATTGGGAGGTTAGAATAAGAAGCTGACTGAATAGATTTTAGTTTCAGCAATTCTGTTGAATTTGGCAAGAATGTTTTTTGGCTACTTTGAGAATACTGATTTAGCTAACTGATTTTGAAACATAAGAAATTTTCATGAAAAAATGTTTGACTTTCAAATCTATGAAAATGAGAATAAATATTCACTTTTATCTGGTTAAGTATCTGTTTAATCCGCAACTATATTTATCAATGCAACTGTTCATTTATTAACATAATGTAACCCAATTAGCTCTTAACACTGCATTTTGTTTACATAATATTCTATCTTGGACTAATTATGCTTTCATAGTAAGCATTTAATATATAAATCTTGATTTATAAAGAAAGCCTTCAGCCAGGTTACATGGATCTTTTCCAGGTTGATCTGTATCACTGGTTGCTGAAGATTTTTTAAAATATTGGATGAAAGATATGTTTCATTTCACCTTTTTTAAAAGTTTGAAGATGTGTTTTGAACATCTTGCTAACCAATATACAAAAATTAGATCATGCTTTGCACTTTCTTTACAGTGTTTCTTCCATATCAAATCTTCATTAACACCTCTGTTTCCGGTTGCATTTTGTTTTATATATTTAACATTTAAAAGGAAATATCTGTGGTGACTTCCAATTCTTTACTGACTTGAGAACACCTCCTAAAGTATGATGCAAACAGTTTCTACTAAAAAGTGCACATTTTTACAATTTGTGAATTGTATCAGATTTTAAAAGGAAAACAAAAACATTGGCTTCAAATGGCAAGTAACCCAGTTTAAAGGTTTTAATAAATTTAAACAATGTAATTAAATGTGGAAAACTGAACCATAGTGCATGTCTACTATTGAATCACAGATATGCACTTACTGTTTCTGTGGTTTGGTAGTTGTATGCATATGCAGTAGTGCTGGCAGCAGAAATGTATATGTTGCATTATGATCTAGACATTATTTTCTCTGTCCGCTCATGTAAGCCTGGTGATATACAAGTGGAAATGTTTTAACTGTTGAGAATTGCCTAATACAATGAGGTAATTTCTACTTTAATTGTTGTGTCTAACTGCTCTGCTATCAAACTTTGCACTGTAAATATTTCATGACATACCTAATTGTATAAATGTACAGATGGTAATTTTAATAAATTCTTTCATTGGGAAAATTGAATTGCATGAGAATTTTAAAATTAAGTCATTAGTTGACCGGGCATGGTATAGGTTAGAATACTGGCTGCAGAGTTTTGGATGAGCTTGGATTAATGGACATCATCAGAGTGTCAAGAGAAACTAATTATGACCAGTGCTTAAAAAATAAAATCTGCCCTGTAATGTGAACTGTTACTGTAAATGCAATGTATTCAATCATTGATTCCAAGATATTAATTTGTCTGTTCTGACCTTAATAGTACATGCAGACCCACTAGGCTTTCTATAGTGCAGGTAAGGATGAGTTATTGTTTGGACTGCCAAGTCATTCTAGCTTGCCTTTTGTCCTAAGCTGCTTATATGCTTTGCTGTTCAAAGGAAGCAACACCAATACTTCAAATTGCTACTAGTTTAACTAATTACATACAATATTGCAAACAAAAAAATCCAAAGGTTTAACCGTTTTAAGTGTTCTTGCGGTAACTGCCCTTGAACTGCTGCAACTGGTCGTTAATTATGTTCATTCCATCAGTGTTTTTTACTTGCATTGTGTTCATGGTGCTACCATTTAGGATGGCCACTGATCCATTGGCATATTCACAATTGTATTTGTGTCGTCACACCATTAATGCATCAAGAGCTTTTGCACTTTCAAAAAGTCAAATACCACAAGTGGTCTTTGCTGTCTAAGGCCATTATCTGATAACAGGTGAGATGAGCCAAGGGCAGCTCAAGACTGACGTCATTACTAATGAAACAACTATCAGGAGTAGTCACTCAGATTCTCATATTGATGTTCAAGCTTAGCATTTTTTTTGTCGAAGATTGCTATTGATTAGCTTGTCCATAAATTACAGATTTTTTAAAAATCAACTTATAAGTTCTGAAAAGAAGTCTTCAGGAATGAATAGTTATTGATGTTGACTGGATTCCCCATATAATGGAAGACATTGTAGTTACTTGTACAGCAAAAATAGGCTTGGGTGCTTTGTTTGATAAATGAAGCTTTGCTGCTGAATAGAGTTTAAAAGAAATGCTCTGATAATACCGATGCACACATGGTACTTCATCTAGCCTCAAATTTAGTCTTTTCATTCTAAAGAGCATTAGTCCTTGAGTCCTATCTGTACCAGGTTTTGTTGAAATTCACCCAGTAGTTTTGTGATCTGTTGTTCACAGACTAATTGAAGTTGTGAAGAGGAAACCAGAAGAAAAGCTTTATACGTGAGAACATAAATGCGCTTTAGTCTTACCTCAGTGAAGACATCTAATGATTTGATAGAATTTCAGGGGAGGTGACTGCCAAGTGGTATTGTCACTAGACACTGTTACCAGAGAACCAGGTAATGTCCTGGGGACTCAGGTTCAAATTCTGCCACAGCATATGGATTTTGAATTCAATAATTTAAAAAAAAATCTGGAATTGTGAGCCTAATGATGACCATGTATCCATTGCTGATTGCCAGAAAAACCCATCTGGTCCACTAATGTCCTTTAGGGAAGGAAACTGCCATTCTTATCCTTACCTGGTCTGGCCTAGCTGTGACCTACATATTGATTCTTAACTGTCCATTGGCAATTAGGGAAGGGCAATAAATGCTGACCTAGCTATGACGACCTAATCCCGTGAATGAGTTAAAAAGAAAGTGATACTCCCTTTAGATGTTGGGCAGTCCAGACCAATACTAATTGTGTCGTGTTAGTGATTTAATGAAAAGATCTCTCTGTGAGAGCTAATATATCTGTGTTTCATTAAACCAATTCAGGAACATGTACCTCCCCACAGTGTGTGAAAATGAAAGTCAAAACAACTGCTACAACATGCAAAAGTCGCAGACTGTATTCTGGCTAGAATGCAGAAGACTGTGTGCAGAAGTTAATGGATCCTTGACTAAGTTGTTTCAATACAGCTGTGAGCTTGGGATTGATTGAGCAATGCAGTCAGTTTTCTAAATTTGACCTCTGATTATAAAATGACCCATGTCTGCTTCCATTGGGGCTGGATAACACCTGGGGTTTGCGATAATAAGTAGCAGGTAGACTTCATAACTATAGACATCAGGTAATGACCATCTCAAAATGCAGTAGCTTAGTTTTCTACAAATCCTCAATTACATGAACATGCCACTGTCCATATGAGCCTATCATATCTGTGGCTAAATGAATGGGACATATGATGGATATTTTGCAATGAATGGTGTATCTGTTAATTCTCTACAAAGTTCAAGCCAGGAGTTTCATGGAATATGTATTACAACTGCATCCAATGAATCAAGTAACAATGGACAAGACAGTCAACATCATCCATGATGGAGCTGTTTACAGATGTGGTGTTCAAAGTCTTCCCACTTACTCTTCTCCCTGCAGTCTTTCCCTACCCACCAAATTATCATGTCCACTAAGGCAGTTATCATTGTGCAAATTACAGTGTACCCCAGCAACTTTCCTGCAATGAAACAAAACCAGGACAATATTCTAATGATCATGGTGACATTCTATAGTCAGAGGTTATCTTGCCATGAAAATTGCTATGGTTCAATAAGAAAGCCTCTCTGGGTACAAAATTAATATAGCACAGTAAATGTGACTTTTTTTGAGAGAGAAAAACATTAAGGAATCTGATCGGGCCATTACACTGTTCCATTTGAAGGTTAAATCAAACCTAGCTTTAACTGTAAAGTTGAGAATCTTGCGAAGAGTTCAATAATTAACATATCTTTCAACAGCAAGAGGTAACTATTCAGTTGCTTATTGAAGTTACAAATACAATAAAAGCGCATTCAGTATTTTAAAATTAACTCTAAAGAATACCTCAATATCTTGTCCCATAAGTGCAGTGTAAATGTAGTTAACAACTTAAGTGGATCATTAAAAATATTTAGCATATAGCACATTTGCAACTATTGTAAATATTAACAAACTGCATATCTTTAAAATTCATGGAGTACATAAGTACCTCACCAACCAAATCACTAAATGTGCCACTGCCTTTTGGTTGGGGAGAGGATAGTACAATAATTCTGTTACCATGCACGTCAATTCAGATGACAAATTGCTCATTTGCAAGGAATTTTGACAGTGGATGATGTGATAACCTTTGACCTGAAGGCAATACACCAAGGAAAGTTTGTGACTTCTTATGAATATTTGTTGAATTGGTAATTTCAGAATGATTGAAAACAATCCCCATCACCTACTCGCTCTCACACACAAACTGCTAATACAAAACCATAAGGAGGGAAGTGATTCAATCCAATGGCAAGTGTAAAATGCTGGCTCACTGAATCATAGAAGCCTTACACTGTGGAAGCAGGCCATTTGGCCCATTGAGTCCACACCAACCCTCTGAGCAGCATCCCACCTCTCCCCTATCCTATCCCTGTAATCATGCATTTCCATGGCTAATCCACCTAACCTGTGCATCTTCGGACTGTGGGAGGAAACCCACGCAGACACTGGGAGAATGTGCAAACTCCACAAGGCTGGCAATTGGAACTAGCTGAGTGGGCACCCTGGTCAGCATGGACCAGTTTGGGCCAAAGGGCCTGATTCCATGCTGTATGACTCTGAGTTTTAAGAATTTGTATTCATTATAATGGGATCAATTGCAACTTTATTGGATGATACTGGTCCATGTGACCTAGTGACCCTTGCCCTGACAGTAGTACCAACAGGAAAGAAGTTAAGACCTGAAGCCATATAGTTAGCAAAAACAATGAAGGTCTACAAGCAAAGGAGCTGGGGTGAAGGCATAAGCACAAACACAAAGAAAACTGCCAGAAAGAGTTGTTTGAAAAGGTCTAAAACCTAGAAAGCAGATGAATAGCTTGATTATCTTCCCCAGAACTGGCTAAACAGTGAATCATGGTGTTCCTAGTGAGTTGCTTGGAAAGGACCTATGGAAAGCTACACCATAATGACTCTTGTGTTCCAAAAGAAAAATGATTTGCAGTAGTGTATCTTGCAGGTGATAATTGTAAACATGAAACTCCCAAATAAAAGCTGTTGTTAGATAGAGATACTAACAATCTTAAGTGAATAAAGAGCATAATGTTGGGGAACTGTGTAGCTATTTAGCTGTATTTCATAGACAATTATGAACGCTTGTGTTTGGATGTAATGTATCTTTGTATCATCTAATCAAAGTGAAATTTACATTTTTATTTGAAATGTTACTGTTAATATCTAATTTATGTTAATATGTAATGGTTCTGATTTGTGTTAAAGTGAAAGCTACAAAAGTGAGATTTTATTGGTAATATCTTAATTTGGGCATCATCCATTAAATTTGATTAGAGCCACACCATGTCAATGCTGACATGGTTATTCTGGTTTCCACACAGGACTTATAATGCTGTCTACTCTGATTTGATTACCCTTTTGAGTCAAATGTATCTACTATTATATCTGGAACTTCTTTGAGGGCTTGTAGCAGGTCATGGAAGGACTGACATAAGGAAGAATCCTGCTTGACCTCATTCTCGTCAATCTAGTGTTGTAAATGTATTTGTCCTTGACAGTATTGATAGGAGTTATTATTGCCCAGATCTTGTACAGATGAAATCTCATCCTTAAGCTAAAGACAGATACTGTGATGTGCTACATTATCATTGTGCTAAATAAAGTAGATTCAGAGAAGCTCTGAACTGTCCATCCATGGGGTGCAACGGGCCATTAACAGTAGAATTGTAATCCACCATTATTTTTTCTTCATGGCCTGAAATATCCCTTATACTACCATTATCATTGAGCTAGAGGACCAACTTGGCTCAATGAGTAGGGTTGAACATACCAGAAGGAGCACCCATCATATCAAAAAGTGATGCATCAATCTGTTGAAGCTACAGTACAGGGCTGCATGCATGCTAAACACTGGAAGCAATATGCTATGGACAGAACTAACAACCAAGGAATAGGGTCACGACACCACAGTCCTGCCATGTTCATTCATGAATATTGGTAGTCAGCTAAACTACTAATGGGTGGAGGATATTCTTTGTTGCTAGAAGTGACTCACCTCCC